TTTGTCAAGGTCGGTGCGGGCTCGCGCGTCGACAACACGGACGACTCGGTGTTTCTCCAAGAGACGAAGGATGCCATGGACACGATCGGGATCGACGACCGCGAGCAGCACGGTATCTTTGAGATCGTCTCGGCCATCTTGAACCTCGGCGAGGTCGCGTTCACGGCGGTCAACGCCGAGAGCAGCCAAGTCTCGACGTCCGAGAACCTCGCCGCCGTCGCTGCGCTTCTCAAGACGGCGCCGGAAGCGCTCACCAAGACGCTCTGCCAGCGCACCATGACGACGCGTGGTGAGACGTTCACGATCCCGCTCAAGGTCGACCAGGCCTTTGACCTCCGCGACGCGTTCGCCAAGGGTATTTATTCGCGCCTCTTCGACTGGCTCGTCGGGCGCATCAATCGGGCCATTTGCTCGACCAAGAACGTCTCGTCGCACATTGGTCTCCTCGATATCTTTGGGTTCGAGTCGTTTGACCACAACGGCTTTGAGCAGCTCTGCATCAACTACGCCAACGAGAAGCTGCAGCAAAAGTTCAACAGCGACATCTTCAAGACCGTGCAGGCCGAGTACGTCGAAGAGGGCATCCCGTTGGACTTGGTGAGCTTTGAGGACAACCAGCCGATCCTCGACCTCATCGAAGGCAAGCTCGGCATCGTCGACCTCCTCAACGAGACGTGCTTGCAGCCAAAGGGCTCGGACAGCATGTTTGTCAACAAGGTGCACGAGGCCTTTGCAACACACAAGAGCATCGACCGCGTTCGAATGGACCCAATGCAGTTCAAGATCCTCCACTACGCTGGCGACGTGACCTACGACGGATCGCACTTTCTCGATAAGAACAAGGACACGCTTCCGTCGGACCTTCTCGAGCTCCTCGCGTCGAGCCAGTCGTCGTTCATCCGCGACGTCTTTCCCGAGCTCTCGGCCAAAGACGCGGCGTCCAAGACGACCTCGGGGGGGCGAGGCCCCCCCAAGTCGGCGCCGCGCCGCCAGGGCTTCCTCGTCGGCAACACGATCGCGGGTTCGTTCCGCAAGCAGCTCGGCGAGCTCATGGACCAGATCGCCAAGACGTCGACGCAGTACGTCCGCTGCATCAAGCCCAACGCCAACAAGAGCGCGACCAAGTTTGACCGGCACATGGTCGTCGATCAGCTCCGGTGCGCCGGCGTCATTGCCGCGATTCGCATCAGTCGCGCGGCGTTCCCGAACCGCCTCTCGCTCAAGGAGTTTACGTCTCGCTTTGCCATCATTTGCCCGTCCAAGCTCCGGTCGGCGCCGCCCGAGGCCATGGTGCTCGGGCTGCTGCAGCGCCTTTTGCCCGAAACGACGTCGGCAAAGAACGCGCTCTTTGCGATCGGTCGCACCAAGGTCTACTTCTCGTCCGGTCTCTTGCAACAGCTCGAGGACCGGCGGAACGAGCTTCTTCGCAGCTTTGCACTCTGCCTCCAGCGCAACCTGCGCATGCACGCAGCCCGCGCCGGCTACCGCCGAGTCCGCGCCGCCGTCATCGTGCTCCAAGCCCACCTCACGGCGTATGTCGCTGGCGTGCGCGCGCGGCGTGAATTCCTCGCGCTTCGCACTGGGGTTTTGGGTGCACAAGCGCGGTGGCGCGGGCTCGTCCAGCGTCGCGCATTCCGCGTCCTTCTCGTTGCTGAGCGCCAGCGCAAGGAGGCCGAGCGACTTCGGATCTTGGCTGAGGCCGAGGCGCAGGCGCAACTCGAGCGCGCCGCCAAGCTCCAAGCCGCATCGGCCTCGCCGGCCAAGGTACTACGAGCACGCTCCAGTAGAGACTATGTCGTATGTAGACGATGGCGTGGGAAGACGACGAAGACGAAGTACCAGCGTCTCCGCGACCGACTTACCACGAGTCGCTTATCGAGAAGAGCTCGCATGCTGAGCTACTGGCGCGTGTGGGCCAAGCAGAGGCGCTTGCACTGGAAGCGCGCGAGGCTGCGGAGGGCGCGATGGCGCTCAACGAGTTCCTTCAGAAGGAGAACCAGGAGCTCAAGGCCAAACTCGCTCAAAACGTGCACGAGTACGCCGACGCAGAGCTCAAGGGCGAGAACGACCGGCTCAAGCGCGAGCTCATGCAACTGCAGAGCAAGGTCGCGCGCAGCGAAGAAGTGTCGTTGATGTCGGCCAGGGTACTGCTATCGCATTGAGCTACCGAGCGTCACAATGCGTAGGTGGTTGACAGCCGCATTACCTTTCGCGAAGGCCGGCAGTTTGTCGAGTACAAGCTCCAGATCGAGACCAACAACCGAGGCACGCTCTTTGTGTGGCACCGCTACTCGACGTTCCGAAACCTCGCGACGACTCTCCAGAGCAAGAACGGGTACCGGAAGAAGGACATTCCCGAGCTCCCCAACAAGCAGCTCTTTGGCAACTTCAGCGAGAAGATCATTCAGGACCGCGTCGCGAAGCTCAATGAGTTTCTCGAAGCAGCGACGCGCGCCGAGTACCTTCAGTGGGGCATTCGTGTCGACCAGGACACGTGCGTCTACAAACGCCGCGTCAAGAACGCACCGCCATCTCGGTACGCGTCGATCGATACTCTATCCAAGTGCGATTTGGATGACTTAGGGACTCGCTGTCGTCACGCGAGACGGCGTCGACGACGCGCGATACAGTCTCGATCGCGGGCTTTCGCGCGTCTTCCAACTCGTTTAGCGACGAGAAGGACGCACCGCGTCAGTCGTTTGCGTCTCGGTTTTCGATCAAGCGCAACAAAAGCTCCGTGTAGCGCGCGTCCGACAATAAAATTGCATTGCTCGATAGATAAATATGAAGGTGTTTTGCGCTCTCTTGGCTCTTACAAAGTCTGCATGCTGTAGTCCTTTTAGGACTTTCTTCTGTTGATCGCTCTGCAGTCGCAAATTTTGTGTTTTCTCTGATTTGTCTTGTTTGCTTGGGTGTGTACGAGGAGCAGAAGAAGAGGTCGTTGCAATGACGCGGCTGTGGACACTTGCGACCCGAGCTCTCTCCGTGTCGGCGAAACCTTCATGTTCCTGAATAGCATTCTCGTCGTCTGTTGTACCAGTGTAGTTGTGTGGATTGGCGCTCGTCGGAAGCGTCGTTCAATTTGGAGGATGATAGCTGGCAGCGGTCGCAGCTGCGTTCAAGGGCCCGCGTCACTGGTGGCGAGCTCTGGCGCCGGAAGAGTCGCTTCTGCTTCAACAAAATCGCAACTCAACTCGGGTGTATATCACCTGCGCTCTTCCCAAAGAGGTCTCAAATTGAAGCCCAGCCAGCCAAAACGCAAGTCTTCATTTTCCCACTTGCAGCATGCAGCCGACGTCGCTTCTTCTGCTTGCGCTATCGAGCGTCGCTGCTGCCTCGTGCGGCGTCAACTACGGCACCTGCAGCGCCGAGAGTCGCTGCTGCGAGTCGGCGCTCTTCGAATGCGTGCCCCGGGGTAGCCAGCACGACAAGTTTGTCTGCGAACCTACGTGGGGCTCGACCATGCACGCGCAAGCTGACCACGTCGGTCTCTGGGCGCAATGCGGCGGCAAGGACTTTACTGGTTCGCGTAAGTGCCCGCCCGGTTCGGCGTGCGTGACGGTCAACGAACACTACGCCCAGTGCCAGGCGACGGCCACCGACGCGAAGCACCTTCCTACGTACGCGCAGTGCGGCGGTCGCAACAACGACTTTGACGCGCAAGGTAAAGTCTGCCGCGACGAAGACACGTGCTTTCGCTTCAACGCTCACTTTTGGCAGTGCCTCCCGCGCAACCTTGCCTTCTTCTAGTAATCTGTGTTTGCATCCGTCTCTCTTCTGCGTTGTCCATCAAACACTGTTTCGAATACAGTGTATTACACAGCACATATTCCACAGTATTTATACAGAATACAGGATAATTTCAAGGGTACAAAAGTCCAGAAGAGTACACTGTATAAAACAGAGTCTAGGCACTGGACACGAGACAGAATAATATTAGAACACTAAACGACGCGATGCTTGTAGACAGTCGTGTCGGCGTCGACGCGAATCGCCCACTCGAGCTCATCGCAGGCCGAGAGGACATCAAAGAGGTGGTTGAGTGCGTCAATGCGCCGCTGGACGAGCGCCTTATCGTGGTGCTCGTCGTCGCTCGCGCGGAGCGACGGGATGTGTGGCGCGAGGCCCGCGACCGACTTGGCAAGTTCCTCAAACGTCGCAAACCGCCGCCAAATCGAATACGTGCAGATGCCGCCGAGGTTGGAGAGGCAGTCCATTTGCAGATTGTACTTGACCGACGCGTGGCCTGCCGCGTCTTTTCGAGCGCCAATGCGAAAGCCCGCGATTTTGGCCGAGATGAGCGAGACGTTCTCGGAGACGCAGCACGCTTTCGCCGGCTCTTCGTACAGCACGATGCCTTGGCGCGGCTCGTCGACTACCTTGCGCTTGTAGACGCACGTGTCAGCGTCGATGCGAATACCCCACTCGAGCAAAGGCGTCTTGCACGCGACAAGGAGAAACTGGTTGAGCACCTCGATGCGCGACTGAATATTGGACGCCGAGAGCTGCGAGCTGCGCAGATCGGCCTCGGGGAGGTCAAGCTCGTGCCGCATGCGCGGACACTGCCGCTGAAGTGACGTGGCGAGGCTTGAGAAGGTACTGTAGCGCCGCCAGATGCGCATCGGTCCGTGCGCGCGCGTCTCGAGTGCGAGGCAGTACTGGACGACGTCGTACTCTTTCATTGTTTCGGGGTGCGCGACGCGGACGACGCGGGCGTCAAGGATTCGTGCGTCCACCAAAACGCGCTGCGCCGTATCGTCGTGGTGCGCCATGGACGACTTGCGATCGACAAACGAAAACGACGACGACGACGACGACCGGCGCTTGGGCTTGTACACGACGGTGGTAGCATCGATGCGGATGCCCCAGTCGAGATCCGTCTCGACGGCCGCGAGCAAAAAGGTATTGAGCAGCGGCAAGTCCACGGTCGTATCGTCGCGTGGCAAGTCGAACCCGTGCGGAATGTCCGTGACGCCGTCGTGGAGGAGCTGGATCGTCAGTGTTGTCGCGAGATTCTGGAACGTCTTGTACTTGTGCCACACACAGAGCTCGCCTTTGTCGCTAACGATGTGGAGCTTGTACTGGTACCCGCGCGACGGCAGCGACCGGCGCTCGACGACGGTCGCCGACAGCAGCGTGCGCGTCGCGGTGTCGCCGACGGCCATTTCACAAATGGCGTCCGTCGAGCGCGATGCGCGACTGCGTCTAAATTATTACCATGCGGTTTGTATGCTGCTTGGATAAAATTTAGACCCGGCCGCGCCTGTCGCCACAGTGGCACCCTCCAGAGTGGTCAGATTCGACCAGCGGTGGCGCCGACGACGGCCACGCGAGACGACACTGATGGTACGTTGCTACGACCAATGAGCGCGCAATCGAGCGAGGTAAAAGCTACGGTCGTCACGAGGCCAGGAAGAACGCAGGCACCGTGCCCGTGGACACGCAATGTCCATCTTCGGAGGCGTAAAGCCGCCGCTTGCTGCGATCGGCCGGTGGCGAATCTAGCAGCCGTCTCTTCGGCGTCATGCTTGCATCAGCAGCCCAGTGCCCAGTAGCCCGCGCTTGTGTGAGGTGGTTCACAAGAGCCTCATCATTGGTGACCGTCATCATGGTACGCTGACGTGCACCGCGGGTATACGTGGCACCGAGCACACATCGTCCTGCCACTGGACATGGTCAAGCCGACGACAACGTACTCGTGTGCAACGACAGGTCGCTGCCAATGAGGCGCTGGACACTGCGGTACTTCAACGGTATCTCTGCACTGTTGGGACGCCCAGTCGTCGTCGTCGGTTGGATCCTCGTCCACGTGGCATGCAGTGAGAAGGTGCTGTCTGCGGCCGCCCGTCGGTTGTGCTGCCTCGTCAACGGTCCCACTCTTCGTCGACAAGGTAATACACGTTGCATTTAGCGTCGACTTGCGGCGAGCGAGTGCCGCCACCACGCGACCGCGCCGCGAGGACCATCATTAGCTTTGCCTTTGCCCCACGCCGAGTCCACGATCTTAGTCGCATGTTCTTGAACATTCTCAACGTGGGATCCGAGTGCAGGTCCACCGACCGAAGAGTCCTCGTCGCTGGCATCACGGACGCGGGCGCGCAGCTGCACAAGCTGTGTAGCGCGCTTGGCACCGCAAGAACAACCCGAAAAATCGAACGGCTTTTTTCCGGATACGGTGCTATTTTTAGCACGCCGAAGTCGGTTGACCGCATAAGCTCCATCCGGCGCAGTCAGTCCCAGAGAGGAGAGAAGAAGAGCAGCATGAGCAAGTCCGAGCAGGTCGTCGTCGCGCCCATGTACCCATGGTGCCAGACGGTCCTCGCGGCCAAGGCGCCCGCCAAGCCGACGCCGTCGATCGTCCCACGCCACCACGAGCCACGCCCGCACCCGCTCGGCACG